AAAAAATAATAAAAACACTAAAAATACAAAAAAAATATGAAAAATACACAGAAATTATACAAAAAAATTACTAAGAATATGAAAAATACACTAAAAACACATGAAAATGCAGTGTTGGCCAGTGCTGATCAGATATGGATCCAGATTCTGTTGTTGACTATTTCTCTCCCTCAAATTGTTCACAAACAACATTTTACTGTTTATTTGGAATCCCAGATCGTGTGTGACCAGGCGAGCCGCCATTGTTTCCAAACCAAAGAAGCCCAATGAGCAGATCAACTCGCAGTACGTCACCACAGCTGGCTCCGACTAACTGTCAAGGTCGACGACCATAACGCCAAACTGGAGGCTTCAGAGCGGTTCTCCACCAACCGATGGGTGACATGGGAGGTTCTTACAGAGGGTTTAGCGAACAGATCGGACAATCTGGGACTTTACTGGTGCAACAACAGAGGCGGTGATATGGTGAAGACTCCAAAAAGCAACTGAAACAACTTTAACGGCGGACAAGATGATGGACAGACGACACAAACTATCTTATGGGATGGGGAAGGGAGGGAGGAGGAGGAGGAGGAGAAGGAGGAAGAGATGGAGAAGGATAATAAAGATGCTACCGTACCACGCTGTGTCACTGAAGTAAAGCACTAGTGTTTCCACTCCTGGGCGAGGGCAGAGAGGAGAGACACACAGAGGACAGAGGGAGGACAGTTAGAGGACCAAATACACTCAGAAACAGTTTCAGGCAGATGCACTGAAGGTCCGTCCGTCCTCAGAGACAGACAGACAGTGGGAGGAAGGATGAAGGATGAAAGAGCTGAAAACTAATCAGGAGAGTTTAGTTAAAGTTTGGAACACGTTGATTTATTATTAAAGTTGGAGTGAAGTGACCAGCAGATTAAACTCGTGTCTGAACTGATTTTCCCTCTGAAGTCGCTGCTGCAATGTTAAATCATGAATAAGTTAAAATAACCTTCAATGTCGCACAGAAACTTTTAATTTGGAGCATTTGATTCAGTGCAGCTGAGTCTTGGATGAGCAGGATTTCGACTATAATATTTGTTTTCTGCTGGAAGTCGTCTTTATTAAAAACATCTGACCTTTGACCCTTCACTTGCTAACTTCTGACTACATATGAATGGGCAAACTTGGGTCGTTGCTGGCCGTTTTGTATTGTGTATTTGCAATGGAAACTAGATTTTTTAGATTTTTTAAGCTATCAACCGATCAAAATCATATTTTAGACACTTTTAAGACCTAAAATTTAGAATATTGAGTTTGAGACCCTGCAGACACCCTGTATGTATATGCTCCAGCTCTGATTGGTCAGTCTGGGTTTCCACCAGGCTCAGCTTTATGATAAGGCTCTAAAATAAAACATAGATTATTTCCATGATATTTGGTCATTTTAATTAATGTGTGTGGTCCGATATGCCGATGAATCTCTGTTCTATCACAGCGATCGTCTATAATGTATAATATATATATATATATATATATATAAATACAGAACTACTGTGCAGTCTGATTTCAGCACAATGCAGAGGTAGTGCTGCAGAAACTGCAATCAGTAATCCAACGTAAAGTTAAAAAAATTACTTTTTCTGTTCAGTTTTAAAGATTCAGCTTTTTATCTGTTGCTCAACTTGAAAGACGACAATTAATGCAGTCAGATTTTCACATTTTAAGCTCTTAAATCTCTAAAAATTGTCATTCTCTGAGTTAGCATTGTGTGAGAGTTATGAATTATTTAAAGCAGCAACAAGGAACTTTGAATTTGTGTTGATTATGGTGCCCCCTGTGGACAAAAGCGGTAGTGTTTCTACCACCTTGTTTTATTGATTTTAAGGGGAGTCTGACCCGGTGGCAGACATTAATAATAACTATATAGAAATATTTTCTCTGATGGTCTGATTTGTTTTATGGAAAACAGAGTGCTGTTAAATGTTCGCCCACTAACGGCAGATACAGTAAGAAGCAGCTAATTAGCAGACACATTTTACTTTTTACTGTAAATTCTTTTAATTAAGTAATTCAGTTAACTGAACACAATCTGGTGAAACTGCAGCCGATATATTCAGATTTTTATTTCATGAATTAATCATTTGGTTAATTGTTTCCTTTTTTATTCATATTTGAAATTCATGAAGAAAAAGCTAGCTAAATATTTTAAATAATGTTAATAATTTTCAGTCCTACAGGCAGGATATACCGGGGACAGATCATGATGATGAGGTGGAGGAAGATAAGGAAGAGTCAGCAGTGTGGACTGGGTAATGGGAGTTCTGGTTCTGGTTATGGGGTTATAAGACTCACTTTTTCTAGCGAGGTGGGAGGGGATGCTGGGCTTCGGCCTCCCCCTGTAAGGCCTGGAGCGCTGATACTGCCAGGGCGGAGAGAGGAAAGGAACAGGAGGTAAAGCCTGAGGAGAGACAGAGCGGAGGGGGACAGGAGGAGGACAGGAAGCTGAGTCATAACGTCAGGAGGAAGAAGAAGAGGAGGAGGAGGAAGACAGGATGAAAGGAAGGGAGTAATAATGATATTTACAGCACCAGAAACCTCCTCAGGTACGAGCATCTAAGAACAGCGAGAGGCAACTGTTTGTATTTCAAGGACTACATTACCCACAAACCCTTGCAGGTGACTTCAGTAAAGCAACCTGTCTTTGAGGAAACACTGATTGCTGGTAGTTTTCTGATAAATATTGTTCTGTTTTGTGAAGCACTCTGGGCTGCACCTCTGCACAAAACCTGATAAATAATCAATAAATCAAACATTGTGTGTATATATGTGTGTGTGTGTGTGTGTGTGTGTGTGTGCGCTCACAGCGTGCTCTCTCCAGGGCGTCTGCGAGGCCACACTCTCTCTCTCCGTCGCACTTGTCTGCGTGTGGCGGTCCACCCTTCCCGTCATCTCCTGGCAGCGACACTTGGTGGTCGCCGCGGGAACAGTCTGCTAAAGAGGACACGAGGACGCTCGTTAGCACTTAGCATTTAGCATGTAGAGAGTGAACATGCTAAAGAGAGAGAGAGGGCAGAGAGACATTGACACAGACCAGCTGCAGGGTGAGTTGTGCGATGGTTCGGTCTCGGCTCCTCAGCTCCTCTCTGAGCTGCTGCACCTCCTGCAGGAGAACCTGCACCTGAACACACATATTGGATTAATACTGGAAGGAGCAGGTGAGGCCGGTTGAAGGAAAGAAGTTTGAATAACGTTTGAAACATGCTGACCTGTGTGTCAGAGCCGTGGGAGGAATCGTTGGCTTCAGGAGTGTCTGTGGTCAGAGTGTCATCGTCTATGTCCTCCTCCTGAACGACATTTCATTAAAGATTATTAGAGAACGAACAGAACATCCTTTCTGTATGGAAACTGTGGAAACTGTCCTGTAGAACAACATTAGAACCTTTAATGCAGCATCATCTTAAAGTAAATCAAACTTGGAGTCGAGGCAAAGATGCAAATTGCCCTGGACGGCGCAAATTAGCAATAAACATCTGATCCAAAATGCAAAAAGCAAATTCAAATTTATGACCCTGACTTCAAAAACAGCTGAAAAAGAGGGCTAGAAACCAAAACTGACGCCTAGAACAACACAGAGTCCAAAGATAAGGCTTGTGTAATATATTGTCTTATTGTGGTTTTAGCTGACTAACGTTAGCCTGCTTTAATTTAGCTTGCTAATGTGGAAAATTATAGCCAGCAACTGGGGCTGATTTGGTCGGCTTTCCGTTTGTACGTACTTTGCAGGCTAACGTTATGGCTAGTTAAATAAATCTGAGCGGCTACTCACCTGAAGCAGCAACCTCTGCAGGTACTCCAGCTGTGATCTGACAGCAGAACAGTCTTCAGCCAGTTCCTCCACATCCAGACCCAAACCAGGAGTACCGGGAGACAGGAAGGGAGACCTGGGGGGGCAGAGCTCACATTACTCCACTCAATCAATCAATAAAGGTAACAGAGATTAATATTAGACTGTCAGACAGCTACCAGGAAATAATGACTCAACATTACAGTTTCAGCCAGAGCTTTAAATAAGTATTAATGTGGTGAACTGGGAGCTCTGGTTGCACTGGTGATACTGGAGAAGGTTTGAGTCACCTCGGAGGACAGAGGTCCAGAATGAGGTCGCTGTCGGTCCTCTTGTTCCCAGGATCCTCAGTTAGCTTGTAGCACTGGAAGTCACTAAAGGGGCGACAGCATGATGCATTATGGTCATTTTCTACCACAGCTACCAGTGTTTGTCTCAGTTTAGTTGTTATTAGGGTTTTTTAAATTATAATATGTGTACTGATACGGGTAAAAAAAGAATATATACGTTTACAGGTTTTTCCTGTTAGGGTTAGAGATTTAATTTCACAATATTGTTTCTGTTAGTTTAGTTTATTTGTAAAGTCTAGTTTTTATTTCCCTTTCAGTTTTATTTCAGCTCACAATAACAACCTCAGCTCTGACCCAGTACACTGAACTCTGAGCGGTCAATAAACAAAGCCAAAAGGTTCATAAGGTCACATTTAACACTTTATAGAGTTGGTTTTACAAAGTCCCCGAATTATCAGGACTGTGAAAGAGGAGCAGTAAAGATGTTCAGCTCAGAGCTGTTTTAATAAAAAGCTATTTCTTATTAAGATTTAGCTCAAAGCTACGATTGATTATTCCCTCCTCTACGGGGCAGAGGTCACAACTTCTCATTCACCCGTTTGTCTGTGACAAGAATATCTCACAAAACATCTACACGCTGACAATCAAAACATATTGATTTCAGTGACCCTGCGACTTTCACATAGCCCACACACACACACACACACACCAATATTTCTCTAATAAGCTGACTTTATAATAACACAGAAATGCACATACTCCCAATAAAGAGGAACAAACTTGTTCATGTGGTGCATTTATGACCCTAAAACCACCATCAGGACAAACTTTTCAACTTTGAAATTACCCTCTCTGACCTCCCCTCTCGCCACTGCGAAGTTAAACTTTGGCAGCGTTACAACGGTATAATTGGGAGGACGGGAAGGTCTTCATGTTAAGTGTTTTCTGGTAATCAGTCGGAATATTTCTTACACACAAACGTTTGCAGTGCCTTTCCCTTACAGAAAGCCCCGACGTGATTGTGACCACCAGTCTGCAGGTTAATCCAGGACACGTTAACAGTATCTTCCCTCACCTTTCATTGTCATTGTGGACGTCCTGCGTCCCCCAGCAGAGCTGTCTCATCCTCCACTGAGCCATGTGGGAGATCCCGTCTCCATCTGCAGGGTTCAGACCAGCAGCACAGGGGTGAAAATGGGTTATTACGAATGAAAATTAGTTTATCATCTGGAGTATAAAAAGCTAATTAAGACTGGATTTGTAATCACTAAATCATCCAGACATCATGAAGTTGTATGTATTAAACTCTTGATGGAAGAGGTAGGCAGGTATACATTAAACAGCACAGAGGTCTGGGACTGCATTCAATTCCTAACAATAATGAGTTTTCTGCTGGGGAGGAACTTTTCAAAGATTAAACCAAGATCGAAACCTGAAGCTAAACTGTTTTAGCTGCTAAACTGAACTGTTAGCTAACTTAACGAGGAGTTAAAGCTAAAGATTACACTGATATCAACTGATAGCAACCTGATATCAAACATTCAGCAGTTTAAATCAGCTCACTTTCAGGTTCTACATCCACTTTGGATGAATTCATTAACTATTGTCTGTTCTGAATCTGCTGATAGTATGAATCATTGAGCCTATTAAAACTTAACAGGAAAATGAGTCAGGTCGTGTCACACATCACAGGCCTTATGTGACCTCAGTGGGATCCATCATTTTACTTAATGAGTTTATACAAACGCACCGCTGTGCAGTGAGGCATCTTCAAGGACGTCTGCGTCCAGCATGAGGTCATCATCATCCAGATCACAAGAGTCCAGGTTGTTCAAGATGTCCTGAAAGACACAGAAAGAAAGTCTGACATCATCTTGGACACCACCACTGGTTTTTATACTGGTTTTTACATTGAGGTTTGTTCCATATTCTCAGGTAATTACAAGTTTATGCCTTTTTCTACCAGGGTTTTTGAAAGGCATTCTGGGAGACGCAGGAACACCATCATTACAAAATATCAAACATCACAGATCAATGACATAAACTACAATAGCAAAACTACGATTGTAAAATTGGACGGTTAGCTAATCAACCAGTTTTATCAGATAAGCTGAACCGTTAGCTAACCTGAAAGAAAGTATTTGACTTTATAACAGTTTCAGCTGCTAAAGTAGACTGTTAGCTAACCAACTGGTTTTAGCAGCTAAACTGAAGCATTAGTTAACCTGCAACTGTTTTAGCTGATAAAAACTACGGAAAGATGATAAAACTACAACGGGAGAGAGCAGATGATGGTTTGTATAACAATTCTCTATTTGATTTCCAATTTTCTGCAAGGTGAGACAGACACAGAGTTTTCCTAACCGGCACAACATAAAATCCCAGAGCAAACACACAAAAGAACAAAAATCAAAATCTAATCTATTTCCTTCACTGGTGAAATTGCAGCTACAGTACGAAGGACGGCGTAAACTTTCACCAGAGGCTGATAAAAGACTAAAAGACCTTCTGTCAATGTGAGGAGAAGGTCTTTTGAGCCTGTTGATCAATGGCAGCTGAGGGAGTTTCTGCACAATGGAGGAGAGAGGACTCGATTCAGACGTATTTTTAAACTGTAAGAGCATTAAAAACAAAAGTTTTCACTTTAGCATCATTATTGTGATCGGTGGTTCTTATCATAATAATTATTTCAGGCTTATTTACTATTGCCTACCCACATTTATCTTCACAGTTTTCTTTACCACCCTGCAGTTTATCTAAAATGTCTGGTTCAAAATGCAAAAAAACATGCACATCTTAGGATCAACTCTTGTACCAGAACAGTGAAGAAGATGGTGGTATTATATGAAACTAGATGATCTAACACATCTATTGGTACCAAACATGTCTTGCTAGCTAGTCTGGAAGGGAGCTAAATATTGCTTCAAACTTGATGGAAAAACTGCTTTATTTGGCTAATGTTATCGCTAACAAAATACTGAGTATAGTTGGCAAACTTTAACGTTCGCTTGCCAAATTACTTCCCCAGCTAATGCGATCCATGATACTAACTTATGTATTCTGACAAACTGTGTTGTATTTAGCCAACAATAAATTATAACTGTACAATTCACTGGTTTCTCACAGACTCACAAATCAAAACGCAAACTTGCAGAAACAAAGACAAGTTTTGGGAACAGACAGAAGAAGAGTTTGTTTCCTGCCTGGAGAAGCTTAGTCACAGCACAGTAACCTGAGAGCAAGCGTTCACCCTGAATAACTGCTGCAACCTGCAGCCTGTCCCTGCAGGCTGAGACCACTCATCCACAGCAACACATTACCTCCTAATCTCCTCCTCCTCGCTTATCTCTTCTCCTTCTGTCATATTCTCTCCTTTCATCCTCTCATTTCTCAGCCTTTTCTCCTCCTCTCATCTTCGATCTTTTCCTCCTCCCCTCCCTCATCCCTTCTCCTCTTTATATCTCCTAACCTCTCCTCCTTTCTTTCTTTCTTTCTTTCTTTCTTTTTCCTATTTCTCTCCTCCATCCCTGATTCTGATTTAGTTTTACTGCCTCATTTGGAGCCAGAAAATCTCTTTTTATTTGGTTCTAATCTTGTTTTCATCTCAGTTTTCATTGACAACATTAACACGGTCTCCTGAATCCTCTCTTCCTCCTCCTCCTCCTCTTCGCTCTGACCTCTGGAGTTATCGATGATTTAGTCTGGTACACAAACACAGACTTCCTCCACTTGATCAGGCAGCGCTGCACCGACAAACAAACAACAAAAAGCATCTTTTTTTCTGTGCTGAAAAGAATAGAAAACATCATCTTTCTGCTGATTTCAGGTTGTTTGACCTTCCGGCACAGATCACAGCCCGTCCTTAGACCAACACTGACCTCTGCTGCTCATTTCAAACATTATTAAATAACTATTTGTGTCAACGCCAGCACAATAAAGACAAAAACCAGTCAGGTATAGATATGTAAAAAACAAAAAGGAACTCGTTAACGTTCTGAGATCATTAAGGCCCAGAGCTCATTAGGGTCAATCACTCTTTAAGCTCGTTAACACACAGGGCACATTGAGAGAGAGAGAGCTCATTAACACCCACTCAACATTATCCAGGAAGTATATTAACTGCAGTGAACACAAGGTTGGAGACGATTGATTGACTGACCCACCTGACGATCCTCTCTTCAATTAACTATATCGCTGGTCCACAACCTTTTTCTTTAAAGGAGCTCTATTCCATTATTGAATAAAGTGACTATATTTTATGTGTATTTCATATTATATTTAGAGATGTTCCGATACCATTTTTTCCCTCCTGATACCGATTCCGATACTTGTGCT